GAGGGGGGGGGGGGGCGTAATATCCTCGACAAGAGCGGACCATATAATTTAGTTTTTCTCCCACTGGCTCCTCCCATGTTTACCAGTAATCTATTGGGAACACTCTTCTTGGTTTGAGGCAGCGGCGTGCGTGCTACAGTAGGTGATAACAGGCTCCAGTGCGAGAACAATTACAGGGCCTTTATATGTAAAGAATCAAATCCGACCGCCAGGTATATGACTGAGATCCCGGGACAGGGAGACGCAAATGACCAAAGATTGTATTCAGAAAATTCATCTTACGGTGCTTCCTTATGTCTTTTTAACCGCACAAAATGTCGCGGTCCCATATTAGCCTTGTGTGGGCTATTAATGCTGAAGGTGAGAAAAAGTAACGATATCACCCCTCTAGATGTCCGGATGAAGGCACTACAGGTAAAGGGTCCAACTCGGTCCCACCATGATTAGGCATCTCTAGACGAATATTCTGCTATTAAAAATAGTCAATGTGGTAATAGTCAATGTGCGTCCTTGAAATGACAGTATCTACTTTATAAAATGTTTCCATTGTATCTAAACTTGAACGCTCTAATTAATATCAGCATATTTACTACCCGCTTTTTAAAAATTAACCCGTTATATTTTCTATAATGTAGTTTTTATGTTACATTTTTGTATTAAAATATAAAAATAATGGAATGTGAATTCGTTAGTGTTCTCTCACATTAGAAAATTCCTATTAGCCACTTCACGATCCAAAAAAATGAATGCATTCTAAACAGATAGACCAAGTAACGCTCTTATTAGTGTATCATAATCGGTTGGGAACTTCGTTAAATGAAATGCCGTTTTTGGTCCGATTGATTGATTCGCAAGAAATCAGACAATGCACATGATATCTAGAGGTCACATTTTGTAACTCACGGCACAAGAGTCAGGAGGATTACCAGGACTAAGATAGGTCTTCCCAATTCTTGATGCGTACTGGGTAGACTGCGACAAAATTGTCAGGCTTTACTGGTTTTTAATTTCTGAGGGTCCCTAATAGCCGTGGGCTCCATTGCCTTGCACTGGCTGTACTTCACATCCCTACGCCGTCTGAGAGTGTCCCGTGGGTCTCCCTTCTTAAGGTAAGGTAAAGGTCGAAACCTGAAGCTCTGGGCTCACAGGCCGGAGTGCCCGTCTCTCTTTCCATAGCGTTTGGACCAGACTGTGCAAGGCAGTGGGGGGTTCGCCACTTTCCCGCACTGCAATCTGTTTTACCTTCCCAGCATATGCCGGTACTAATTTATAAGCCTACACCTGGGTGGAGAGAGACAAACGTAGATAAAGTGTTTTGCCTAAGGACACAAGCGACTTGCACGAGCTACTTCTTAGTCGGTTGTTGTTAGTAGCACTGGTCCATGTTCTCGTGGTGACACTGTGGCTGACTTTAGGTTCTGAGTGTTCTACCTAATCATTTTCTTGTTAGCTTTGTCCAACCTTTTTATTGTTCTTGTGTGTTGGATACAATAAAATTTCATTTCAAATATTTTAAATTAGGATGTTACAAAAAAACTGTCACTTCATGGCTGAGAACAAATCAATTTGTTTACGAGACCACCGATTACCGGTACTGTAATTTGAAAATGTTGTGTTTGATCGGTAGAATTTAAATGAAAATTGATGGCACGTAAAAAGCAAACAATTGAATTTTGTTTTGGTGTTTGCTGGAAGGTGCACACTGCGAAACTCTATGACGAGTTCTGTGCTTTTTGTCAATGGCCGTATTCGACTGGTCGTTCTTCGTTAAACCACGCCCACCTGCGCAGCGGTAAAATCCTACTTAACGAAGACACCAGTCGAATAGAAAACTTGTAAATACTCGACAAAACAAAATGGCTGCAGTAGTTACCGCGATACACGTTGCGTAATTAAGATTGCTTCAATTTGTGGTAGTATGGTTTTTCGTTAAAAAAAAAAAAATTATCCAGTTTTTGAATTCTGTTAGCCTACAATTATTTTTTGACTCCATGTGGGTAAATAATATAATTTTTATTTTAAGAAATTTAATCTAAGTTATATTAACGCAAATGTTGTTTATAAACTCACCAATCGGCCATGTTTGTTTTGGTCACGTGGATAACTTAACGCTGATTAACGCACTCTGGTTTATGTTAATTTTCCTTGTCAACGAAGTCTATTTAACGAACCAGTCGAATGAAAATAATACTTAATGAAAATTCGTACTCAACGAAATGAACCAGTCGAATAAGCCCATTGTCAGACAGTGTGTTTGCCGTCGACTGACATAGGTGTATTTCGTTTTCTCTTTCAATTTGATAAAGATGTTGTCTTGCTGTTTTTTAATTTTTTAATCATTTACTTTATCGGGTTTTTTTAAACAGTATATTATTTTAATTATTTCAAGTATTTATAAAAATTTCACAGTATTTATTATATTTAGAGTCTATGTGTATTTTTGATGTACTGTAATTGATTTCTTTTCCAATCAGGGCGTCTCCCTTTAGCTTGGGCCTTGAGTCTGTGGATCTCGTCTTTTTGCATTGTTTTCTTGTGTTTTTTCTTGATAACATGCAATAGATTGAATAAAGAATGAAGAAAGAAAGAAAAAAGAAAATGAACACAAACCAACAATTTGAATTGAATTGAATTAAAACAATCTTTTTTCCCACCAGCAAAAATCATTGACGGAACAGGGCCACACAGTTGCATCTGTTTCATCAGAATACTCGCAAGGAAAGGAGAGCTGTAATGCCGTGTCGACGGGGGGAAACATGTAGCTGTTAATAGTACGCATTAGATGATTCAC